TATCAGTGCGTAAAACCCTAAGAGAGAGCCTTCTATCGCCCTTAGTGAGTGTGTGTGTTCTTGGAGCTAATAGTGCCTTGGTGTGTTAGTGAAGAAGGAAGAAAGGAGCTTGTGGAGACTAAAAGCTTGAAGTGCAAGTTTGGATCTGAGATCTACCGAGACAGGAGCTGCATTTAGAGGTATAAAGTTCAAAACTTTCCTCTTTATTTTTGTTTGTTGTTGCATGTGCCATTTCTAGGGATAAAAACCCTAAAGGTGGAGACTTTATGATTGTAAGGTGCTCAATGGTCAAGATCTGTCCCTTTTCAGTGGTATTTGAGTTCAAGATCCATAAAGTTCCCATCTCCGTCATTGATAGGAGGTCATGCTTGAGTTCTATGCTTTCTAGGGTTAGAGAATGAAATGTTTTGGGTGCTAGTGACTTATTCAGCCATGCAAAGGCTTAAAGTCATCGACTTTATGGTTTAAGAGGCTTAGAAATGGTCAGATCTAAAAGTTGGACGTGGGTCTTAACCATTTAAGACCTAAAAGAGTTAAGGTGCTGAAGCTGGGAGTACGTCGGGAGTAATCCCAATACGCACCGCGTACTGGGTAGCGTCCCCCGATCCTGAGAGGCGGCCGGGTACGCCCAGCGTACACATCTAGTACGCGCAGCGTAACCCGGAAAGTTGACTTTTGAGTTGACTTTTAGGGTATGGTCTATTGTAGGGCCTTTGAGATATGATAGGGGTAAAATGGTCTTTTACCCTTCTGAGAGTGTCATAAGAGGATATAGTCTAGCCTTTGAGAGTTATAATAATTAGGGTATTTATTTTGATTAGGCGGAGGTTAAACCAGCGTTACCGAGTCAGATATTACCGAGATACTCGAGGTGAGTCTTCTAACTATACTTTACCTAGTGTGGTAACAGAGTTATGTGATAGAGTATTTTAGAGTTATATGCCAGTGTTATTGCATGTTATTTATGTGCTATGATTTATTGTGATATGTGCTATGTATGATTCACAGTTACAGAGTTAGGACCTTCGGGTCCACAGAGTTAGGACTTTCGGGTCCACAGAGTTAGGGCCAGAGGGCCCATAGAGAGTTGGGGCTGGAGGGCCCCACTGAGACACATAGACCTGAGGGTCAACAGAGTTACAGTCTCGAGTGGCTATTATGTGTAAGAGTGGTATTTTGGGGAACTTACTAAGCATTTATGCTTATAGTGTTATGTGTTATATGTTTCAGGTACCAGTGACGATCGCAGGAAGGCGCCAACATGATTCGTAGACACGCACACCGGAGTTTATATATATATATATATATATATATATATATATATATATATATATATATATATATATATATATATATATATATATATATATTGATCTTGGGTTTTGTACTGATACAATGTTGATACAATGTTTTATTTATGATTACAAATGATATTTTATGGGTTACAAAAGTGAAACAAACTTTTACGGTGTTACAATGTTAACATGTGGCATATTTAATGAAATTGATAATATTTTAGTCCACTTGTTACCATTAATGTAGATAAGAGAATAGTATGAATAAAATGTAAAAGAATATTTAATTTCTCTTGGTTACATGATGACCAATATTTTTAGGGATATTGTTTGAATGAAATCATTAACTAACGATTTTGTTTAGTATTTATGAAACATCACAATTTTGGAATTTAAGGAAATAATATGTTTTTGCGGTTGCTTACGAAAGTAATGATATTAGGAAAATAATTTGGCTGTAGATTTATGATTATAATATAAAGCTATTAACTCCTCGTAATAGCATTAGCCATACAATTAAAAACACAACCAATACTACTAAAATTTACAACTTGTAAACAATTATCTAAATTAATTAAAAGGCAAAAAAAAATCACAAACATTACATATTATACTTAACACCACATTAAATTATCTTAATATGCGGTCCACATGTGAACTTCTTGTTTTTCTATAGTAGAATCGAGTAGTTTGTTTGTAAACGTCAAACAATTTTATGTTTGGCTTTAATTTTTTCAAAGACATGAAAACACTCTAAACCGAAGTTGACTCACATGTTTGTATGCTAATTCGAATGTGTTTGATAAACCTTTGTTCATCCATTTTAATTAAAAACATTTTCATATTATATAATTCTAACTTCTTATGCTCATATAGGTGCAGTCAACGCAGCTCTTTCGGAAGTCAACAATGCAAAATAACGTTGTATTGCAAAAAGAAAACAATCATAATGGTCATTTTCCATTTTTGTGACTATTTTGGTATTTTTTTTTTCATTTTTTTAGCTATTGTATGATAAAACTTAAAAAAATTACTATACTAGTCATTTTCTCGTTTTATTATTTTGTTTTCTTTTTCAATAGTAAAGCCAAGTGCTCGTTATAAATGTACGACCTGATAAATTTCCCACAAATAAGAGCAAATATTAATAATCAACTCCAAATTATTTATCTATCTACTTATTTATTTATTTGTTTTTATAATTGGCTGAATTGTTTTTTGGGTCAATAATATGAACAATATTTTTTTAGCAAAGTTTTCTACATCTAACCTCATTTATTCAATAATGTTTAATTTTATTTTATATGACATATTTATCATTTAAAGTTTTATTATCTTTTAGTATAATTTCAAATTATAAATATTAAACTTGTAATGGTAATATGATATTTTTATTTTTATAAATATTACATATTCTTAAAAAGATAACAAATTAGATAAGACATTTTATAAAATGGTTCAAAGTTCATTTTTTATAAAATTCTTTAAAACATGTAAAAGTTATTTAGCATCATGGATGAAAGTTATCGAGCATCATCCTTATTTAGTAACGTGTATTTGTTATTACATACAATTAAAATCAGAGAACCTCTATCTCATAATTTCCGGCAAACATCTCAAGATCATCTTGTTCAGAGTCAGTCAGCTCCAAGAAAAACCCTCCAATGGATCTTCCAGTTGTGGGGTCGTAAACGAGTGTCTCTGGTGGGGTAATGTCAGCTTCAGCCTTGTACATTTCCATTTGCTCTCCTTTCTCAATATTTGAATTGTTTTTTGCTAAAGTACGCGAGAAAGCAAGATGAACACCAGGGTTCCTTTCTGTAACAGAGCTGTTGAACATGATGGAGTTATTGATTCCTTGAATATTGCTATTAACGATCGCTTTCATTTCCTCATCTTCACTGGCTTTGGACTCTCTTGGCGATTTATTACCTTTGGAGCTTCCTTCTCCATTAATAATGGCATCGAGCTTATATCCTCTTTGGATATCGATGGCTCCTTCTTTTTTCTTTGCATCGGAACCTAAATGCATGGATGCTCCTTTGTTGTCACCAGCAAGTGTAATTACACTTGCAGGTTTTTCATCCATGGAATGCTTCGGATGGCTTGTTGCCATCTTGTGAATGAACTTGGTAATGTCGTCTTTGATCTCTCTGTGTAAGGGAACATGTGGTGCAACTTTTTGTTTCTGTTTTGGAGATATTGCTTCCATGGAATGTTGAGTATTCATGGATTTTGTTTGTGCCCCTTTCATTTCTGTCATCTCTTTGGGTTTTGCATCAGTACCCTGAACATGATATGAATCCACCGGAAATTTTTCATTTGTTATTTCCGTAGACTTTTTGATTTCTTTTGTATCGTCTGGTTTAGATGTCGACAAAGGGGGTTGGGCACCATGGTTAACCGAAACTTCTTGAACTGCAGTACGTCTGGTTATAGTCGGAGTTACCGGTGGTGGTGATGGCGGCGGCTGTACATGAACCGGAGACATTGGCTGAGAAATGGCTCGTGTTTGTGGTGGTTCACTGGAGGGAGAAGAGGGCTTTGACCGGACATGGGGTTGTGTGGCCAAACGAGATGGCGATAGTGGCGGTGATGGCGGCGGCTGTACATGAACCGGAGACGTTGGCTGAGAAATGGCTCGTGTTTGTGGTGGTTCACTGGAGGGAGAAGAGGGCTTTGAGCGGACATGGGGTTGTGTGGCCAAACGAGATGGCGATAGTGGCGGTGATGGCGGCGGCTGTACATGAACCGGAGACGTTGGCTGAGAAATGGCTCGTGTTTGTGGTGGTTCACCGGAGGGAGAAGAGGGCTTTGACCGAACATGGGGTTGTGTGGCCAAACGAGATGGCGATAGTGGTGGTGATAGCGGCGGCTGTACATTAACCGGAGACGTTGGCGGAGAAATGGCTCGTGTTTGTGGTGGTTCACGGGAGGGAGAAGAGGGCTTTGACCGGACAAGGGGTTGAGTGGCCAAACGAGATGGCGATAATGGTTTAGAATCTGCTCGAGGTGGAGAAGCTGGCATACGTGATGGGGAAACCGGCGGGGAAGAATCTCGGAATTTGGTGGCTATACGAGACGGGGAAGAGGGTTGAGAGCCAGGTTTCGCCGGTGATGATGGTTGGGGAGGACTGGGTGGCCTGACAGACGGCGGCTTTTGAGGTGGAGTTGCCGGACCTGTGGTTTCAACGGTTCGTGAAGTTGGGGTAGTACTAGTGGTTTGAGTTTCTTTTGTAGACCGAGTTGCAACAGGTTCAATAACTTTAGCAATTGGAGAATTGGGTACTGGTGACTTCACCTCAACAGGTGGCGATGGTGGTGGTGGTGGCGGCGGTGGTGCAACTGAAACTGGTTGCGATGGTGGTGGTGGTGGTGGCGTTGATGTCACTGAAACCGGTGAAGACGTTGACTGTGGTGTGGCTCGTGGCGGTGCTCTCCCGGCAGGCCGAAATGGCGGCTTTGGAGTAGAAGTGGATGCAACAGCGGTTTGCATGGTGGTGCGTGGTGGCTCTGGGGTAGTAGCAGGCGGTGTAGCTAGGGCTGGCTGTAGTAACCAAGGTAGCCGGAAACGAAAGCCTGAAGGTTTATTTTGAGCCATTGTTTTCCGATTAAGGAATCGAAGCTACTTCAAAAAGATGGTTTCAGTTGTCACTTCCGATGTTATGTCATAAAATGACGAGAAGATAATCACTATAAATACAAACTTGATACCTTAGAAACGCCATGAAAGTGACCTAAACATGCGTTTTAATTACTTTTACCTCTTTTGTGGGCAACTTTATGATGCTAAGCTTCCTCACCTAACAAGGCAATCAAAGTATATATACTTGCTTATAATTATCACCAACACGTAAATGTCGTACAACCTTACAATGTCGTTAATTAAAAATAGAAAGATGAATGTTAAGATTTGAAATCTGACAACATATAAAGCATGAGAATCTTGAAATCCTTTTCTTTGGATTGTGGATTTAAGGAAAGAATACAAAAATAGTATTCCATCAAGCAATTGAAACAAAATGGAAAATGGTATCCCTACAAATATTTCGAAATTAAACCTATTTTCATGTATAGTTAAGATGCAATTAATTGCAAGAGCATTAAAAGCGTGTCAAGAAAGGCTTCGTATACCAGTTGTACAACAATTACACAGATACACCGACAATGCATTGATAGTAGAATCTCAAAAGGGTATGGAAAACACAACGGTGGCTGAAGTTTTAATGACAAAAGAAGATGGGAAAGTTGGATCTTGGCTATGGTGTAAGACCGATGACACAGTGTATGATGCTGTGAAACATGTATGTAATTACCATTTTTCGCACATTTTGTTTTGTTATCCATTTGAATTTCATTGTAGAATTTTTTTGGTGATTGTGCAGATGGCTCGAAACAATATTGGATCTTTAGTCGTTTTAAAGCCCGGAGATGAACAAATGATTGCAGGAATCATCACTGAAAGAGGTTAATGCATTAATTTAGCTAATTAAAAAAACATTATATGTATTTTAGAACAAATATCTAATGTAAACAGTTATGTGTTCAGATTACTTGCAGAAGGTAATCGTCAAGGATAGATCATCTAAGTACACGAGAGTTGGCGAAATCATGACACAACAGGTGAGCATATTTATATGATATTTTATTGATTATTGACCATGAAACTCATAGTCGTTTATTTTTACTTCAACAGAACAAGCTCGTAACCGTGTCCTCTGATACAAACATTTATCAAGCAATGCGACTAATGTCAGGTACACGACAATTACTTCTCTTGTACTTTTTACCTGCACTAGACAAGCATTTAAGGTTGTTTTTAATAACAAGGATGAGAAAGGTATTCGCATGTTTACACATGCGAGACATTGAGAGGAAAGTAACAAATTGTTATTATTATTGTCCCATTGACATGAGTCCATTACAAGTCAAACATAATACAGCCTCCTATTTTGTGTAATGTCACAAACTCTATGTGTTCACTACAAAATATTGAAAAGATATTAACAAGTTATTTTGATCACAGAAAACCAAATACGACATGTCCCAGTCATAGACGGAAGGATAGTCGGGATGATTTCAATTGTTGATGTTGTACGAGCAGTGGTTGATCAACAAAGCAATGAAGTGAACAAACTGAACGAATTCATCAAAGGCGACTACTACTAGCTAGCATTTGTCGTAACTATTGTTTGTTTCTCTAGCTAGCATTTGTCATAACTATTGTTTGTTTCTCTATTTTCTAACAACTCGTGTATCATCTTTTTAAATTTTCACAAGGTATTGGTTGTTCGATAATAATATATCAAGTCCAAACTGCTATAAGATAATATGTGCTTTGATACCATTTGTTATAAAAATATCAACACGGAACTACCACAAAGATAAACTTAAGCAATAAAGAACACCAAAACATTTTAAAGTGGAAACCCGGAATGGAAAACTGAACGACACTCTTATTAAAGGGTTATTGGGATTATAAATCTTCAAGGAGAGAGGATAGGAAAAAGAATTGCACTCCATGGGTTTCCCAATGATAGATAGTTGATCGGTGAGGGTTTTGATGGACCAAAGATCTTTCACCTAAACATATACAATTCGGCACATATATTTCTCCAAATAACCAAGACTTGATATTCTTCTCCTCGATTTGGCATTTGAAGATCTGTAACACTGAAAATTTCAAACAAATTTTTCAATTTTTATAAAACATAATTCCATCGATATTCATAAAAACAACCATTTTAATTATCCAACAAAACAGTACAAAATCCCAAGATCATAATATCAAGCTCCGAACGTGTGTGTATACGGATCAAGTCGGCGTCTTCCCGCGGTCATCACTAGTACCTGAAACAAATAACATCAACACTGTAAGCACAATGCTTAGTGAGTTCCCCAAAATACCACATATAACACATATTAACCACTCTAGGCTATAACTCTGTGGGTCCGTGCACCCAAACTCTGTGAACCCTCAGGTTCTAGCTCTGATA